TTCTGTTGTTGGAAACACATGAACAATGTACATATACAGTATATATATACAATATATATATTTATATATATATATCATTGTCTTTGCTATGTGTGTGTGTCAGGCTTTTATTTGTACATATTGATTTTATTTGTGTAAGAATCCTCAACAACTACAGAATAACACTGAAAATCCATGATGAACTTCCAATTTTCAGCCTGAACTACGGAGAGAAGAAAACCTTGTCAGTTTTTTCATTAATTACTTCTTATTGTTGACAATAAAACCACAATGTGCATTTGAAATTTCTTCTGGGTTCTGATTCTGTTGTTTGAAACAAATGAAGCCATAACTATTGTCACTATGTTCATTTATGGGGATTACTGTGCTGTGAAAAATAAATAAACTCCAAGAGAAGAAGTGACTGCAGTGGTTTGAGGCACAAAAACCCAAACCCTCATCATGATTCTCCAAATAACAACCAACTCTCTCAGCACCAAGTGCAAAGCCTGTGCACACACTACTTGTTACCCGTAAATGTAAGTCAGTCAAATACTGTCTTCTGATCAGACACACACGTACATTTTGTTCCTCTGCTTCCCTCAGTGTTGACAATTACAACAGAGCGAGAACTTCTCATCTGTATGGGTGCCTCTTATGGCACAGATCAAAGTCCTGTTCTGTTTTTACTTTCCTCTTTTATTTTTTTTATAAGTGAAACTGCTGTGAATTATTGATTGACCTGAGTTCTCATTACAATGCAGATCTGGGGCAAGATGATATCAAAGGCTGCAGGCAGCTGCCATAGTCCCTTGCAATAGCATCACGATTGGCGGGGAGGATGTTATGGGTTTTCTATTCGCTGTCAAACAGACCTGATATAGATAAAAAGGAGAGAAAATGTAATTTGGGATGTGTTTGTAGATTAATGAAAACAAGGATAAAAGTATTATTTTTATGACAAATGCAAATTAGAGCAAAGGGCCATACAAGTATGCATGCCATTGTGTTTTTCTTGCACTTTAATTAAAATCTAAAGAAAAAAGTTCCAATAAAGTTAGTTTTAGTTTAAGATAAATGATCAAATAAATTGTACACTTTCATCTTAAACGTAGATAACAGAATTTGTACCATAAAAAATATGTAACTACATTATGACCAACAAGTTCTTAGCTTGAAACAACTAATTTCCTTACAGGTAAATTAAATGCATTCATCATCTTGTTCAATTTGATTTCTAACACCATCTAACCACAACAAAAAATCTTAGCCTGGCCTTCAAGTTCACTAGATTACATTTTGAATAATGCTCAGGGTAGCCGTGCATAACTTGGTAGGTGCCACGTACTTTCCTAATAATGTGTACAGTTGAACTGAATTTATTTCAAGCCCTAAAATGCCACCCACATATTCTGCACCTTCTAAGGAGTTTGGGAAGGGTTTATAAAGTTTTAAAATATAAAGAAATAGTAAATATTAATGACCCTACTTTGCAGATATTCACCTATCATGGGGGTGTCTGGAACGTAACCTCCACAATAAGTGAGGGACTACTGTATACTGATATGTGCAAGGTAGTTACCAGATCTATACATACCAGGTTTTTTGCCTGTAATATACCTGGTTTAGACATGGTACTTAATACATACCAGGTATAATTACCAGCAATGTTATACTATATCATGTTCTATAGCAAGTAGGTCAATTTGTTCTTGAGGCTGAGCAATGTCCTTCCTAACACTGTCCATCCCAAGACAATGTGAAACTATCATCCAGAACATGGATCATCTTTACAGTGTCTTGATGAATGTATTAACAATGCAGTAGACACCCCATTATGCATGATAGGTCAAAACAGGTCAGAGAGCATTTTAAATAATGCACAAGACATCTGTACTCAAAACTTTAGTAGTTTTTCATCATGATGGCACCTTGGTAGACAAGGTGGCACATGGTGGCAGCAGATAAATAACGTGGAGCCCTTGTGGAGAAGCATGGCTTAGTTGTAGAAAACTTAATGCCTAGGCTATGACGGTGATTGTGCCATGGTCAGTGAAATACCCTCCTGCTGGCTGTGTATTCGTAGCATGGTATAATAATGATAATAATAATATTAATAATAATAACAATCCAACCGGGGACCTGCTCGCTGAGAGGCAGCAGCTCTACCAGTTGCACCACTGTGCTGCCCAATAACAACAATACTACTACTACTACTACTACTAATAATAATAATAATAATGTGTATGTATTGTCATCGTCTGTTCCCATACAATAGTGAAATTGTCTCTCTGCATTTAACCCATCCACCACCGGGTGGAGCAATTGGCAGCTATGGGAAGTGCCCGGGGAGCAACTGGGGATAAGGTGTCCTACTCAGAGATACCACAGGAAGTGCAATGACTGGGGATCATGAGGAGCATGGTGGGGGCATTGTCATGAGTGAAAAGGTTTAAATACATTTTGTGTAACATTTCTCATTGGTCTTTGCAAATTCAGCTCCTTCTGTTTTGATATACTAGGGGCTCACATGAAGTGAAGCATAAAAACATTTTTTGACATGTATTTAATGACTCGTTGTGCCTATTTAAACCAATGTATGGAAAAGTGAATGTGAAAAAACAACTTCTTTGTCAGTACAAATTAGCTGCTGGGCTAAGTTATGGACTTCTGCTGTAGTTTAGTTAAAGTATAATCTTTGTGTGGCAGTTTTATAAGAACTCTTCCTCTGATTTAATTTAGATTCATTCTAAAATGGTTCTGTATATCTTGTAATTTGATTACATGTAGCACAGAGTGGTTCTTTCTCAAACACAACACACTTTTGTCCTCATGCTGAAGTTGATTAGTGGATTGTGGTGACATTTCAATCTTTAGCAGTAATGACTAATGCTTTTGCCTTACATAATGTATTGATTAAAAACATGGGTCATTTTCCTTGTTCAAATGATCTGAAAACACACCCATCAGTACCAGTGACTAATGACTGAATCAGACCTGCGTGGGAACACTGAAGTCTGTACTCTGACTAGACCAGACTAACTCAAGTTCTGGCCAGCTGGACCGGTAAAATCTGCTATGTCAAAGAGATTTGCTTCCTATATGTGCTTGAGTTTGGAGTTTGGAGTGTTAATTCTGGCTGGCTCCCTTTCATCTCTTCTTCATTAATATGCAGAGGGGTGGAAGAGGTAGAGGAATCTTGGGTC